GTGGCTCACGCTTGTAATCCCAGCACTTTGGGAGGCCGAGGTGGGCGGATCACGAGGTCAGGAGATCGAGACCACAGTGAAACCCTGTCTCTACTAAAAATACAAAAAATTAGCCGGGCGTGGTGGTGGGCGCCTGTAGTCCCAGCTACTCAGGAGGCTGAGGCAAGAGAATGGCATGAACCCGGGAGGCGGAGCTTGCAGTGAGCCGAGGTCCAGATCCCGCCACTGCACTCCAGCCTGGGCTACAGAGCAAGACTCTGTCTCAAAAAAAAAAAAAAAAAAAAAAAAAAAAAAGAACCACTGCCTCAAAGGAACAGGGGACCAAGGAAACCCAAGAAATTATTTCACACTCTACAATTACAGTGATATTTAAGAGACTATAAAAAAAAAAACCTTCTTTACTTTCTAGATTGTAGTAACTCTGGATTAGTTCCAACTAAGTAAGATAGAGCAACTTTATACTAGTCTCTATAAATAAACAATTCCTTAAGAGCATTCAAAGTGTGGAAATTATGTTGACTACATTAAATGAACAAATATCAACAACTGTAATTCTAATTGTAACCTTAAAATATTGGCCAGATTGGCCGGGCGCGGTGGCTCATGTCTGTAATCCCAGCACTTTGGGAGGCCGAGGCGGGCAGATAACGAGGTCAGGACCATCCTGGCTAACGCAGTGAAATCCCAATTCTACTAAAAATATTTTAAAAAGTAGCCGGGCATGGTGGCGGGCACCTGTAGTCCCAGCTACTTGGGAGGCTGAGGCAGGAGAATGGCATGAACCCAGGAGGCGGAGCTTGCAGTGAGCCGAGATCACACCACTGCACTCCAGCCTGGGCGACAGAGCGAGACTCTGCCTCAAAAAAAAAAAAAAAAAAACTGGCCAGATTAAGAAACAAAAGTGCTCCATGGCCAGGCACAGTGGCTCACTCCCAGCACTTTGGTAGGCTGAGGCAGGTGGATTATCTGAGGTCGGGAGTTCGAGACCAGCCTGACCAACATGAAGAAACCCCGTCTCTACTAAAAATACAAAATTAGTCAGGCGTGGTGGCACATGCCTGTTATCCCACTGCTCGGGAGGCTGAGGCGGGAGAATCGCTTGAACCCAGGAGGCGGAGGTTGCGGTGAGCCGAGATCACACCACTGCACTCCACTCTGGGCAACAAAAGTGAAACTCTGTCTCAAAAAAAAAAAAAAGAAAGAAAAAAAAGAAACAAAAGTGCTCCTAAACTGGCAACCGGGCATGGGTGGGGAGGCAGAGGAACACACTATTTTCAGCCTTCTTTTCAAATAGTACTTAGGAAAAAGAAATATTTACTCTCTTACTCCATTACACCTAGATTGGATTTCATAACATCTAAAAGTGATATAGAAATTCCAAATCTGAAAATACTGTTTGAGGTAAAATCTGCTATAATTCCAGACATCTGCTTATTAAGATATACTGAGAATGTTAGCAAAGAGGGTATGAAGTGGAGGTGGTAGATGATACAGGAAGAGTAGTTATGCTCTAGAAACCTTTAATGGAACTGGGAAACATTAGTTTGGGGCCTCCTGCCTGTTGGCAGACATAGGCAACCTCCAAGCACTTCTAACTCCCATCTAACCAACATGACATTGTAGGATGCCTGATAAAGCCAAGCACACAAGAAAACTAACAACAGTGAGCACAAATTGTTAACAGACCTTTAAAAAAAAATCAGAACCCGGAGAAAGAAAGGAAAAGATTCTTCTTAGTCCATTAAAGACAGACCAAATATCTAAAAGAAAAAATAAGGTACTCGAAGGACAGGAGAAAGCTGGAAAATTACAATGCTAGTACAGACCTAGACAGTACAGACAAGAGTAACTAAAACTTCTGGATACAGGTAAACCAATATTTCTTTCGCAATGGAACGGTACTCCCATGAACCCATTACTCAAGTGGGCTAATAAAACCCTTTGCTTAAAGTGCCTGGAGATTTCAGGAAAAACAAAACATCCATGCATGACTGATTTGTAAACAGAGAAGAAATGAATTAGAAAAATATCAAAAATAACTGAAAACTCTTAAGTACTTTTTCTCCCAATAAAGTACACACACACACACAAAAGAGAAAAAATTCCTGTTAGCAAAGGGAAAGTAGAAGTGTAAATAAAAGCCTGTAATCCCAGCACTTTAGGAGGCCGAGGAGGGCAGATCACCTGAGGTCAGAGTTCAAGACCAGCCTGACCAATATGGTGAAACCCTGTCTCTACTAAACATACAAAAATTAGTTGGGCGTGGCGGCAGACACCTGTAATCCCAGCTACTTGGGAGGCTGAGGCAGAAGAGCTGCCAATAAGGGGGAAAAACTCAAATGTCCATGGATAATCAAATGGATAAAGAAAATATGGGCCAGGCACAGTGGCTCACACCTGTAATCCCAGCACTTTGGAAGGCCAAGGTGGGCGGATCACTTGAGGTCAGGAGTTCAAGACCAGCCTGGCCAACATGGCTAAACCCCGTCTCTACTAAAAATACAAAAATTAGCCAGGTGTGGTGGCAGGCGCCTGTAATCCCAGCTACTTGGGAGGCTGAGGCCAGAGAATCGCTTGAACGCAGGAAGCGGAGGCAGCAGTGAGCCGAAATTACGCTGCTGCACTCCAGCCTGGGTGACAGAGGTAGACTCTGTCTAAAATAAATAAATAAATAAACTGGAAGTATAAATAAATTTAATAAATAATCCTGAAACTGGTGTTTGCTTCAAACACTTTCTTCTTCCTCCTCTATCCCTAAGCAGGTTCAAATAGCAGTATCTTTCCTTTCTTAAGGAGAATACTGCTATTCTGGTTGTTTTCAAAACCTATTATTATAATAAATACTATATGCAAAGCCTTGTGCTAAGTGCTGTATATACATTATCTCTTAAAATCCTCACTGTGATGACTAATGTATTATTTTCATTTCCATTTTACAAATGAGGAAAAATCCTATGCTTAGGACACACAATCAACAAATGGTATAAAGCGGAGATAAAAAGCCAGGTCTGTCTCCATAGCCTGTGCTAATAAACTGGAGCAGTATTTTCTCAGCTTTCTCTCCTTAAAAGACTGAAGTTCACATGCTATTTGGAATAAATATGCAGAAAAGGGGCACAGGAAGTGGTGTAGAAAGAAGCACTTTATAACTTATCAAGATAAGAGCACCTGCACTGCTTGTTTAAAACAAGGAAAAACCCTGCAATAACATAAAACCCCCAACTCTTTTCTGGCCCTGTTATTGCTAAAACGGACAAGTTGGTCAGGCACCACCTACGGACCATAGTAAATAAATCACTTTGGTTCAGTGGTGGGGAGGGCATTATGCAACACTTCCCAGCACAGCCCTGGCCAGGATATTTTACGGCCAAGGCACTTGGGCCCCTCCTCCCCAGCTAGACAGCCTGGCTCCTTCACATTCCCCTCAGGAGATAGGGTGGAAGCTCACAGCTCCATTTTGTAAGGCATAGAGGGCAGCTGAAAGTCCTGCTTGGCCTCTCTGGGCAACCACAGGCGCCAATAAATCAGCCACAGGCGATTCTCTCATTCCCTTCCTGGCTGAAGCAGGAGCAAGACATAATGCAAAAGAGCACTGATTGGACTTGAGAGATAAGCGATCTAGGCTTAAATTCTACTGCAAATGACTATATCACCACAGCCCAGGTAATGGCCTGTTTCCTCAGGCTTGTAACATGAAGACAGTACCATCTCCTTTTTGGTAAAGATACAAAGTTCATTTATGAAAGCAGCTAGTATGATACTTCGCCCACTGCAAGTATTCAGTAAACAGCGGCCAACTTGAGCAGAATCCATCTCTAATACATGCAAATAAGACATTCAAGGTAGGACTGGACAAAAAAGGTGTAGCAGGTTATGTGGGTTCCTCTCTGCTTTCTTCCTGACCATACCTTGATATTTCATTGATTGCCAGCTCTCAGAACTAATCTATTCCATGTCCTATCCCATCAGTGTTCTGTTCCCTGTTAAGGAGCTGATGTCCGATAACGGATTCATGATTTGCCCTTAACTAAAATATATGAAGATTGTTAAAGAAGACTTTGATGCCTTAACATAAGGAAGCAACCAATGCTGCAAATAATGGTTATTCTTGAAGAGAACAGCAATGAAATTTTCAGGGGTGGCTGAGGGGTGAAGGCTTTTAGTTCCAAAAATACACCATAGCTGGCCTACCTCACTAGAAATACTATCAAACCCACACAGTGGCCATGCCTGATTTCTCCATAATCTGAATCAAGCCAAGTATAATGACCTCCGCCGGATACATTCTCTACAGGTGAGTGGGGTAAACTGGCACTGCGGTCCTGGCATAGTGGAGAGTGCAATCACCAAGGTGTCTGGAGCCTTGGAGTCTTAGCTATCAAGAGGTGTAGCTAGCTCCAGTTACATCACGCTCTTTAGGCCTGGTGTCTTCTCTGTGATGATCAACAGATTTTCTGTAAGGCACCGCTCAGCTCTAAAACGTGAGATTCCAAAGTGTACTCTACACACTTGATAGTCTTGTGAGAGGATCAATAGCTCTGCCAGACGAACTTGAGTTTCAAGAGAAAGAATGCCAAATTTAATCCCTTGGGGGAGACCCGGGCGCTGACTGTTGAAAACATGCTAGGTGCTGTCAAGTTCCAGGTACTACGCTGTGCTATGCGCTGCCTCCGCAACTGATAACACCTGATTACTCCAAATAATGAGTGCCAGAGAAGGCGGTGATGGGTCAAGCTTCAAAAAGAAAAACTGGATTTGCTTAGAACAAGATAAACATTTGAAGACAGAAAATAAATTATGAGGGCGCGGGGGAAGTCTTCTTGCCCTAGAAACTAGGTAATCACAAGCTGGGAGTGGAAACACTAGCCGCAGCGTCCTCGCAGCATATGGAAAGTCGCCCGCTCCTAAGAGCGGTGGGCGCCAAGCGGGGGAGGCCGCAGGCCTATTGGGGTTTCCTGCTAGGGGTCGCACCCGGACCCGCAGCACGGACGGCTCCGCACCTTCAAGGCACCCCGTGTGCCACCCTGAATCAGGCCCCGGCGGCCGCTCCTAGCAGCAGCAAAGGGTGGTTCTGGGTATTGTTGGCCCAGCGCTCACTCGCGGATGTATTTTCCTCCTGTGCCCTGCCTGACATCTCAATGGGACCAAAAACACCCCTCTCCCCAGCTACTTGCATCTGTCCCGCGACCGGTGCAGCTGCAGGCCGCCGCCCTGGGCGGCTCGCGGCGGGAGGGACTGAGACCGGGGCAGCCCACAAGGGCTGGGCCGCGTCGCTTACCCAGATGCCGCCGCGGCGGCAAGCCGACTCCTCCGTGCAGGAGGGGCGGGCTCCCAAGCCGCGCACAGCAAGCGGTGGAGCAGCCTCACGCACCCCGCGGCTGGCTCTCGCGCGGCTTCCCGCGCCGGCAGCCCGCGATGGCCCCACGTGACCGCGTGTCTGGTAGCAGGGGAACGAGGGGCGCCAAGGCCAGCGTGTGCGTGCGTGCGTGCGTGCGTACGTGCGCGCCCTCCCGCCCGCAGCCGGGCGGGAGTCGGCCCGCGCTCTGAGCGCTGCCGCTACAGTTCGCAGTCGTGACTCTGTAGGCGGAAGCACAGGGACGAGCCTGAGCGTCACAGGCTCCCCACAAACAACCGCGTGACCCGGGGACTTTCCCCAGGGTGTGCAAAAGCACAGGCACCCCCTCAGTTCTGGGGTGAAGGTGGGGGTGGGGAAGGATGCGCCCGCGTGTTCGCTGGGGAAGGGATGAGGGCGCGGGGCCAGGGAGGCCGAGCCGCGGGAGCCTGGGTGGAGAGGCGGACTGGGCGAGGTGGGGCATGGCGAGGGAAGTGACTCAGGGCCAGAGGCGGACAGGCCCACGGAAGGTGGGGTGGGGGGAGCGCGGGGACTAGGCGACCCTGAACCGACCGGACAGAGCGAGGTTTCCGAAGCACTCCAGGCGGACCGCGAGGGACGGCCCAGCTGCTGGGCCCAACGGGGCAGGGGTCTGACATCTGGACAGAGTGGGAAAACAGCCGCGCATACTGCCCTGGGGAGTCGGGAGGAGCCCAGTCACATCCAGCTGTGCAAACAGGAGGAGGAGGAGGTCCCAAGCCTACCCTTGAGAGAGGGGCGAGAGGGGTGGTCAAGCCGCCGCTGCCGCGACAGCCCCCGCGGTGCGGGTTGCGCCAGCCTCCTCGGAGCCCGACGCAGAAACTTGTTGCAACAAACAGGCGACCGCGGGTGCCCCTAGCAGCCAGCGGCAGAGTGGGTGGGCGGGCGAGAGGGAGGGGAAGGCTGGCGGACGCCGCAGCGAACTGGTGGGCAGACCCGGAGTCGCCGCGTAAGCGGGGCCGGCTCAGTGCGGTGCGGCAGGCGCGGCTGTGCGGCAGCGGAAGTCCTTTGTTGCAGCACAGTCCCTGGCAGAGCCAGAGCCTCTCCGCGCAGCCCAACCCGAGCGCCGAGCGCCGCCGCCACTGCAGCTCGCGGCCCCTTCGCCTCCGCCCGCCTTTGCCGTGGCTGATTTGCCTTAAACTCCCTAAAATCTCCGCAGCTCTGGTTCCTGCTGCGGCCGGTAAGTATTTGCCAGTTGTGGGGCTATTTGCGCAACTTTCGCCCGGGCCGGAGGGCGACGGGCCGCGGGCCTGGCGGAGTGCGGGGCCGGAGCGGCGCCGACCCGTGCGGGGAGCCGGAGCGCGGCGGACGCGTTGCAAGGACCCGGTGACGGGCGGCTGCCAGGCCGCCTGCTTGTTGCCGGCGCGTCAGGTCCCGGGCGTGCGGCCTCCCTGAGTCGGAGGCAAAGCCCTTACGGAGACTAGTTCCCAAATTAGTTACCTTCTTTTCTTTCTTTCTCTGCCTTTATTTTTTTCGAGGGGGGGAGGGGAGGTGTAGACGGGAGGCGGGAGAACCCGGTTGATTGACGTGCCTGGAGCCCGCTTCTCTCAACTTACAGCTGCGGCTCCGCGGCGGGTGGGAGGGGAAGTGTCCCGGAGCCCGAGGCTGCAGACTTGGGCGCGCTCCGAGGGAGGAGGCGTAAGAGCCGCAAATTCTTGCTACGCTGTTTCCCACCCCCTCTCGCCGGCACACACGCTTTTTGTTCAGTAAAAAGTGGAAGGTCTGAGTTTGGGAATTTTAAGTGGAAAAGATCTGTTTCCTGGGAAGGAAGTGCTTTCGCTTGCAGCGGTGGGCGCTTACTTAGAAGTTCGGTAAATATGTTGGATGCAGATCGGGAGTCGTTTACTACTAAAGTATGTAGGCAAGGTCTGAGCTCAGCCACCCCACCCAGTCTCCCTTTCTACCTAAGCAACGGGTGTACATGATCTGAAGGGTTGACATGACATTTTCTAAATTGGGCGCATCAGGAAGAGGTTGATGAAAATCCTTGACGTTTTCCGGGGATAGGACGTTTGTATGTGTGTGATAATGTTCTTAAATCGAGTTTCAGTGTGGCGGTGCACGCAGATTCTTCATTGGTGTTAGTGTTTCCATACGGTATGTATCACTACAAGAACAGTGTTCCCTTTGACACTCGAACCCAAGGAATGGTCCGAGGCTTTTTGAGGCAACCTAGGATCAATGTCTTGAGTTGAAGTTGGAGGCACTCTGAAGCAGATTTGGTGAAGGATGCAGTTCTTGTAATTTACAGAGCAATCACAGTCTTCTTTGAAACGGAGAAATTAGATTCCATGAAATTTTATCAGTGCAGATAGATATGATGTGGAGAAACGGGGAAAATTGAGTACAAAAAGATGAGGCTTGAATGATGGCTGGCCATCATTTGCTCAGAACCTCAAAACTTTGCTTTTGAATCACTGGCTGGATATCTAATAAAGTCTCAATAATAACTGGATGACTTTGGGAGCTAGAAAGCGGCTTACTCCTCTTAAAGAAACAGGAAACTGGGCCGGACGCAGTGGCGCACGCCTGTAATCCCAAATGCCGAGGCGGGTGGGTCACCCGAGGTCAGGAGTTCAAGACCAGCCTGGCCAACATGGCGAAACCCCATTTCTCCTAAAAGTACAAAAATTAGCCTGGCGTGGTGGCGGGCACCTGTAATCCCAGCTACTGAGAAGGCGGACGCAGGAGAATCGCTTGAACCCGGGAGGCGGAGGTTGCAGTGAGCCGAGATCGCGCCACTGCACTCCAATCTGGGCAACAAGAGTGAGACTCCGTCTCCAAAAAACAAACAACAACAACAAAAACCAGGAAACTGAAGCCTGGTGGAGGTGAAATGCTTTTACAAAGGTTAGTAGACACAACGTCTACAGTAGAGCCTTCAGTTAACCTCTTACATTCATTTTATGAGCAGTCTTTCTCCATTAATACCACATTTTCATGGTATTGAATAACTCGGGTAGAGCAGTCTTTCCTGAAGCCTTTCTATTCTTCCCACTCCTAATATGATGGCCTACTTTTTCGAGTTTTTTGTGGGGAAGGGACTGGTGTATCATTGTCAGAGAAAAGAGAAACCATATTTAACCAGGGCCTTAGCAGGGCATGAGCGCAGTCACAGCCACTTGCTCTTGACCTTGTGCTTTGATCTCACTTTAACACTTCTAAATTTTTGTACTGCTTCCTCATTCTCCTCTTTTGCCAGGCTCTGGGGAAGATATAGTTCATGGACCTTTTTAAGAGTATCTCGTTTTATTTGTAGCATCATTTCCCTTTCTAATGTGCAGGAGAAAAGAAGTACCTGCTTTCAGACTTGCCCTCTAGCCAGGAAAAGCACTAAGCCTTTGCTCTTCACCTTCTGGTGCAAAGGAGAGGAAACTGTTGATACAGAAATACAGAAAAATTCCCGTAGATTTTTGTTAATAAGCTGCAATCTGTTGTCTTCCCAAAAAATTGAGATATATTTGAGAAACATCTTCTTGAGAGGTCACTTTGGTCTCTACAGAATGTTTTCTCCTGACATTTTCTTCCGTGCTAGTATCTCATGCTAAAACGGAAATTGTTTTTTCTCATATTCTTATATGAACCAAATTAAGGGTTATTCATGTCTTTTTTCTCAAAATGTAAGTAATTTTTTATTATAAAATCCATGCTCTTTGTAAAAATTCAGCCTGTACTGAAGTATATAAAATACAAAAATGAAAGTCATTTTGACTCCCACTCCCCAGAGAGAATCACTGTGTACAGTCAATTCCTTGTTTAAAACCTGGTTACAGCTGTGCTGCTGTGTGTGCCTCACTCTGCCTGGGGATGGCCTGTGGTGATTCATGGACTCATGTTCTCTATTCACGTTACTCAGGTTGGTAAGAATTGCCAAGTAAAGGAAAGGGGAGTGTTTTGCACTGGGCTGATTTAAAATTATTTGATTAAGTAACTGGGCTGCTATTTTAGGTTTGTCCTTATTAAATACTTACCGTATCATGGTGGACTATTTTTCATACTTTGTTTATGTTAATGTTGTTGCCCAGCCTCTGATGGATTGATTTACAGCAGGCAAACACATCAAAACAAAAGCAAACCCTCAGCTTTATAGTTTCATAATTTATAATTAGGAAGGAGTGGGTATACTTGCCATGAAGACCACCGCCAGTATATCCCTATGCTGATATACGATGGGGTTCCTCTTGATCAGCACCAAAGATTGCATGCTGAACATATGGAAAGGAAATTAGAAGAAAGGGGTCAATGACTGCTGTTTTCAGATGTGGCATGGAAGAGACTGATATTGGGGAGGAAGCAGCGGGGACTCACTCCTTAGATGTGTATTTAAGAATGAACTGTGAAGAAGTTGATGATGATCTAAAAACAGAGCCCCAAAATAGTACATAGAAAGTTAATTACAACATTGGTTATTTGAGGCTGTTGGGGACATGGGTGGTTTTTATACTATTCTGTCTTTGAATTTAAAATTGTTTTCAAAATAAAATTTGAAGATTAAAGAATTATTAACCAGATTTTCTTTTGTCTATATGAGATGCATGCAGTCCTTTTTAGAGATAACTGAAGAGCTCCATCCCCACTTTGAAGTATTAGAAGAGGCATGCTCTGGTGGACAGTGGGGAGTTAGCAGATGGAAGGGGATTTAGGGAAGGGACAGGACCTTCCTGCAAGATGGGGCAGTGAGAGAATGATGAGAGCTTTTAGATTCGTGAAAAAGGTGACTCAGGGAGGCTTAGAATGTTCCAAAGGGGCACTTCAGCTAATAGTCATATTTAGAAGAGTGTTGTCTGGTTTACACAAACTGAAACTTAGGGCTTTGAATCAAGAGTCTCAGCTTCTACTTAGAAGATAAGCAGTTTCGGG